GCCTTGGTCGCTTCTGTCGTGCGGAGGGCATCACCCAGACGTACACCCTTCCAGACTCCCCGCAACAGAATGGGGTCGCTAAGCAACACATCGGTTTGGTCATGGAGGTGGCTTGTACTTCCATGATCCATGTCGGTGCACCCCATTTTCTGTGGCCGTTCGCTGTTCGCCGTTCGCTACGTCGCCCACCAACTTAACATGCGGCCGCAGGTTTTGTCGACCCTCCTCTGAATTGGGTCTCCTGGTTACGCGTCTGCGTTCCACGTTTGGGGCTGCCTTTCTCACGTTCGTGCCTCTGGCACGGACAAGCTCACTGCCCGCACCGTCCCCTGTGTCTTCCTCGATTTCCCCCTCGACTCGTCCGACTGGCACTTCTACCACCCGCCGTCTCACCGTTTCTTTCACTCTTGCGACGTCACCTTTGACGAGTTCGTCTCCTTCCACCACCGCATTCCCCACTGTGGTCCCCCGGTTAATCTCCCCTAGTTCCTGGTCCCCCCTCCCCGGTCGCCCCTGCTCCTCCCCCTCCCCGCCCTGCCCTGTCTGGTGTGTCTCACGTCACCCCCCTCCCGTTGGTTGTCCTTGCCGAGGAGTCTGCTGACTCTCGCGGCTCGGCGAAGTCCCTTCCACCGCCTGTCCCCGCCCCAGTCTCTCCTTCCCTGTCGCCGACGTTGCTGTCGTAGCCGCAGCCGCCTCCGCAGCTGCCGTCGCCGTCGCAGCCGCAGCCGCCGTCATCACCGCCGCTGGGGTTTGGGCGTTCTGGGGGTGCTAGGGAGCATGCCGGAGCGGGTACTGGAGCGGGTTCCTGTTCTGGGGATGCTGGCGTGGAGCTTCTCGGAGGGGGCCGTGGTGCCGCTGAAGCTTCTGGTGTTGGCGTCGGGCAGCAGCCGCCGCAGTCGCCGCCAGTGTCCGCTCTTCACCTACTCGGCCTTCCTTCCCCTAATCGCCCGCCAGTGCCTCCTCCGTCGCCACCGCCTCCTCCTCTGCCGGTCTACGGCCCTGTGTTTCCTCCAGCGGACTCTTCTTCGGCTCGTTTCCCTCCTCATTCTCCTCCTATGTCTCCTCCCCCCTCATCTGACCCAACTCCTCCATCTCATGTCTGGGCTCGTCGTCCGTCTCGTGCTCATCCTACCTCCCCTCTTCCACATTCTCACCCTATGTTGCTTTGCTCCCACGCATCTCGTGCTCCTCCACTCCTGGTGTCTCCTCCTCCGTCGTCGCTCGCTCTGGCCCCGCCTCCGTTCTCTGACCTCCTCCATGACGCGCGTCCCCTTGTTCCTCGTATCCTTGCCTCTCTTATTACCGACCCGTCCGTTCCTGTCTCGAGTCTGTCGGCTCTTGTTGCTGCTGTCACTGACTTCGCCGCTACCCGCCGCCTTGACTACGCCACTGCTCTGGTCTCTGACCCTTCCTGCCCTCCGTCCGTCGAGGGTGTGGCTGCCCTTGGCAGTGACGTCCTGGAGGACAGATAGAACGAGCTTGCTTTCCTATCAGAGGCCGCTCCCCATCTCTGTTCCATGTGGCTAGTCCCTAAGGGTGACCCATACACTCTTGACATCCCGACCCCTCGCACCTACGCTGAAGCCACCTCGGGACCATGGGCCTCTCAGTGGATAGCTGCCATGGAGCAGGAGAAGGCATCTTGGAGATCCACCGGTACCTTCGTCGACGCAGTTTCCCTACCTCGGGTGAACGTAACCGATGGCCGATGGCTCTTGAAGGTGAAGTGCCCTCTTGGAGAGCAGCCTGTCTTCAAGGCGTGCTACGTTGCTTGTGGCTTCAGTCAGCGTGAGAGGGTTGACTTCTTTCAGACCTTCGCCCCGACCCCGAAGATGACTACTCTTCGGGCATTGCTACACGTAGCAGCACAGCGTGATCACGAGCTCCACTCCCTCGACTTCTCCACAACTTTCCTCCAGGGCAGTCTACACGAGAAGGTCTACCTACGCCACCCCCAGGGCTTCTCCGGTACCTTTCCGTCTGGTATGGAGTGGCTCCTCCGGTGCCCCATCTACGGCCTGCGCAAGGCGCCCCGTAAGTGGCACGACACGTTGCATGCTACACTTGCTGGCCTGCAGTTCTTCTCGTCGTCTGTAGACCCCTCGCTCTTCGTCTGTTCCGACCAGACTCCGTTCTACATCCTTGTTTACGTAGACGATCTGGTCTTTGCTACTGCAGACAGAGACGCGCTGGCCTCCGTAAAGGCTAAGCTGTTGAGGAGACACACCTGCACTGACCTAAGAAAGTTGCGCCGCTACCTTGGCTCGCAGATCTCCAGGAATGGAGCCGCGCGCACCATCACTCTCACACAGTCACACTTGGTGCGCCAGGTCCTTCAGAGGTTCGGCCTTCAGTTCTCTTCCGTACAGCCCACCCCTCTGCCAGCAGACCACAGACTCTCAGCTCCAGTTCCGAAGAAGGCTGTAGAGCCTAGTGGTCCTTACGCAGAGCTTGTGAGTTGCTTCATGTACCTGATGACTTGCACTCATCCAGATCTCGCATACCTTTTCAGCATCCTGGCTCGCTTTGTGGCCTCCGGCAGACACCAATCACACCACTGGTCTGCAGCTACGAGGGATTTGCGTTATCTAGCAAGTACATCGGGCATGGGGCTAGTGGTTGGAGGACGCAGGCCAGTGGTCCTTACCTGGCACACAGACGCTTCTTGGGCAGACGACGCCGAGACTCTCAGGTCCTCCCAGGGCTACTGCTTTAGCCTTGGTGCATGTGCTGTCTCGTGGAGGTCCACCCGCTCGTCGTCTGTTGCCCAGTCTAGCAGTAAGGTTGAGATCTACGCCGGTGCCATGGCGGCATAGGAGCTCCGCTGGCTGACTTTCTTGCTCACAGACTTGGGTGAGCGGCCTAGCTCTGCCCCGATCCTGTACGCTGACAACAGGGCCATGATCCTCCTGTATCAGGAGCCCAGACTCGAGGGCAGAGCAAAGCACATCCAGCTGCGGTACTTCCTCATGCGCGAGCTACAGCAGCGTCGTCAGGCCTGCAGATTACACTTGGCCTCCGGTGCCAACACAGCTAGTATCTTCACGAAGGCGCTTGTGCCTAAAGATCCTCAGCGGCACTGCATACAGCTCAGTCTCGTTCATGTAGCACCTCATTTGCTAGGACCTTGATTGTGTATAACTCTTTATTTAGTATCCTGACTGGCCTTGTGGCTTTCTCTCAGTGGCTGGACTAGTAGTGCCGCCCTGGTCTTGATCTTGCCCTGTTTGTAATCTTTTGACTGGTCTTTAGACCCCTGCCTTAGAGGTTGGTTGGACTAGTAGTGCCGCCCTGAGCTGCTTGTTTCTTACCTGGCACTGCCCCTATCTATTTTAGGGGGTGTGTCAAACATATGTGTGTATGTTTAGTAGACTACATAGGATCATACCATAGAGAGTACAACCCATTAGCTATATACCCATGTATGCTCACATTCTAGTCAACCATTCTAACTCTGAGAATTGTATGGTATATCCCAAAGAACGAGACGAGAGGGACATGCAGGACAAGGTTCCGACGTATATTTGTGTCCCCTAGTGAGCCTACAATACATGCAAATATGTACGCTACCGTGGTAGTACTAGAACTCCGTCTTTAGAAGTGTGCTAAACGCCTGACACGGTTCAAGCAGGCCCCTAGATTGGTTTTTAGGAGCCCTGATCGCTCAGGATCCCCCCTGAGTTTTTCTCTGATTTTTCAGGGTTGGTCCCAAAAAAATTCCTCGTGAATCAGGACTCCTAAATATTTTTTTCCTGAGCAGACAGAGTTACTTATGGAGTTTTTCCTGATTTCTTAGAGGTTCTTAGCGCATGCTTTAGTAGCGAATTTATGCTTGCAGGGTGAATCGGGTCAGGTGGGCGACATTGCAGGGGCTGAGGGAAATTTCGCCCATACAAAGCTCTAAGGAACACATCGGGCCCAAAATTTGGCTAAGGACCAAGTGCCCTCCCTCACACTGCCCCCACGCGTCGAGCCACGAATTTGGTGAAGGGCCAATAAGCGCCCTCACAGAGCCTGGAGGGCGGGCCAGAACCTTGGAAATCTCTGCTGGCCCCCAGGTCACGCTTGGACGGAAACAAGTACAGTTTCGTTGCAAAGCTGAAATTTCAGGATTCGTTAAGAAAACTTTGCTTAGCAATCAGAGTTGACCCCCCAAAAAATGCTGAAAAAACAGGAAATGCCTTTCGAAAAATCCTGGACAATCAGGACTGGTACCAGCAACAACTCTGTTTTTTTCCTGAATCAGGAAAATTTTCCTGCAATCTAGGGGCCTGGGTTCAAGCCTTTATTTGGCACTCTTTGTCTTGTTAGCATACAGTCCATTTGAAATTCCCCTTCAAATTCAGTATGAGGTGAGGAACTATGAGGGGGGAAAATCTGATACAGTGTTACATAATGTGGCAGTCCATCCAAGCTTCCTCTAGCCATCGTCTCATAGCGAAGCCCAAGTGCCTCTGTCCCCGCACGTGCCTTGACCGTTTCGGCGGGGAAGGTTCGGGTTCAGGCAAGGAAGGGTGCGGCAGGTACGGAGAGGAGCGGTTCATGGTTCAGGCCTGGTATCACATCCGCACCTATCGGACGGTCCGTCAAGCCCAACCGTTCGGAGGGTAAGGCAGACCGTGTCTGTGATTGGCTGCCGCCAATTGCCGCATGAAATTCCTGTCACGCAAACTGCACCGAGCCTGCCGCCGACAGCCCTTCCGTCAGTGAGGTCAGGAGGGGTGGCTGGCGGAAGTGCACCCGTCAAAAGCACCCCGTTATTGTCCCACCCACGGCGGAAGCTAGCTGCGGTGCGGAGCAGCAGAGGCTGCACGTGAGGCGAACAGTGCAGGGAGATTGGGGAATCCGAAATCCGGAAGCAACCAAGGTCCAATCCAACGAACCAAATTTGCAGGTCCCAAAAAGCTGAGTTCTCAAGAGCCAAGGCGAGGGGAAGGAAAAGCCAGGGACTTTGTAAAGCGGAGTTCCCGAGGAAGAATTTCTGTGCTCCACTTTTGAAGTGAAGCTGGAAGCCTCCAGCATTGTGCTTCTTTCCCCTGATGAATGAGCTACTGCAGGTGAATCTGTCCTGTCCAACGCTGAACTTCTGAAAAATGGCCACCCAATTGGTCGGACATCCTCATTTCGTCACGCAGCCCGTTCCTTAGTTGCCGATGGATCCGAAGTAGTTCTGCTATTCTCAGTTGCGGTTGACGGAAAATTTTCTGCTGATTTCCTCACTTAGTGCAGACTTATGTGCAGGTATAGATGCCGCGTTATCTTCTAATTACTTTCTCAAGCGAAACTCCCATCTCGTAATTGTCTCGCTTCCGCTCATTATAGCCGTTGGTATGGGTGTACCCCGGCGATCGGCATACACGAGGTTCGTAGACCAATCAGACAGCGACAGCTCGCCAGGCTCCTCCAATCCCTCCTCGCCATTATACCAAAGCAACCCCTACCGCTTCACATCGGCGTACCTGCACACGCCAGAGGAAGCCAAATCGCTCCAGACCGAATGGAACCTCTCTCAACCGCAATCCCCGCCCTTGCCGCACACCTTAGCTCCGGTGGACGAAGCAGAGCACGACGCGCATGAGCTTGCGCTCGGGGTAGAACCGGCGGAAGCGCAAGCTCTTTGCGGCGAGAGACAGGATGGCGAAGTGGGGGAGGCGGAAGGCGCGGGGGGAAGCGGGAGCGGCGGAGGATGGGGGGAGCGGAGAGCGCAGCTGCTGCAGCTCGGCGCGGCGAGCTGGGACCGGCTGGTGCCGCGGCGGGTGCGGAGAATCTTCGGACAGGGAACCATGCCCCGCGCGTGGGGGTCGCAAGGGCCGATATTTGGACTCCTGGACCGGCAAACCACACCGGCATCGGCCTGGGAATGGTGAGCTCTAGCATTACTCGGTAGCGCGATTTTTCTCGGCAGGAGGTTTGATTGCTATCGCGAAGAAGCTTATAACGAATCCAAGCAAATGCGGGACTCAATCGCACTCAATCATATTCAATCGTGCGCTGTTCCCCGCAGGCTAAAGGACACGTGGAAGTCTCGGCGCGTGGGGCGGCTGGATTTCCTCCGGCACCCGCTGGTGCGGCCGGTGGTGCAGCTGCCGTCGGAGGCGTTCGTGGGGCTGCTGTTCTGGACCAGCCTCATGGCGTTCGTGCGGAGCGTCTACTGGTTCATGCTGGACGCGCAGGGGCTCACCTCGCACATCCTCCTGCTCGGATACCTGCTCGTCCCAGGTCTCGTGCTAGGCCACGAGTTCCTGCACCAGCTGCTCTCCACCAATCCCGTGCTTCGCGCGCTGCTGGTTCTGGGCGGCGTGGTGGGCGTGGGCGGCAGCAGGGAGGGCGTCGAAACCACCATATGGGGGGTTGCTCTTAGCGGAGCAGGCGTCGCCATGGTAGGGCTGTACATAGGCGAGGGGCTCTGGCTTGCGCCCCCCGCGCGCAGGCGGAGATTAGGGTTTGGGCTCGCGGGGGGGCTGCTGCTGCTGCAGGCGCTGCAGCTGGCGTTTGGCGGGCGGAACCCGCTGCTCGCGCGCTGGTGGGGGCTGCTGCTGCTGGCGGTGCTCCCGGGCGCATGGGTGGCGGCGCTGCTGTTATATGAAGAGCTGAGGGATTGGGAGGGGGAAGAGGAGGAGGAAGGGCGGATGGTGGGGGGAAGCAGGGGAGGGGAGGGCGCGCAGCGGTACTGGCCGGTTGGGCGGGAGGGGCAGGGTTTGGAAGCGGCGACTGCTCTGAGTGAGGACGAGTGGAGTGTGGAATCGGAGGGAGGGTGGCGGATGGCGGAGTTTAACGAAGGTGCTCATAACGGGGCGGGGCTGAAATCAGGAGAGGGGAGTATGGTTGCAGTGATGGTTGTGAGGGCACAACAGGAGATACAGCAGCAGCAGCTGCTGCTGAAAGGACAGCTGGAGCAGCAGCACGAGCAGCAGGACGAGCAGCAAGGGCAGGAATTGGAGCAGGAGAAAGAGGTTGCACTAGGGGGGGGAAGGGCACTCCCAGCATCAAGTGAAGCTACAGCTGCCGAAGCAACTGCTGCCCGCCCGTCCAGTGCAGTCTCGATTTGGCTGGGAACAGCTTCCGAGCCTGACAGCCAGGCTTGGAGAAGCGTGGACGAATCGCACGACGCCTCGTCATCGGCCTATGAGAAATCGCACAATGTGTCGGCATCTGCGTCAGCATCAGCAGGAGCAGGTGGGAGAGCAAATGCGGCTGCAGGGCCTGTGTGGGTGGCTGATATGTTGGGGGGATTTATGGAGGAAGGCGAGGAGGAGGAAACCGGAGGGGAGGGGGGGACACTGGTGGTGATTGAAGGCGATTGTGACAGTAGCAGCGGTGAGAATAGCGAGGTGACTGGTTGGCATGCTACGCAGGGGTGTGAGCTCCTAGGAAAGCAGGGCGAGAAAGGGACGCCTGGGGGCGAATGCACGTGCAAGGCAGAGGAGGGCGGACTAGTGGGGGAGAACGGTGCAAGAGGAGACGGGGAGACAAGGGGGCGGGCGGGATATGGCGACCATGCAGGCACCAGGGGGCGCGAGAGTTTCGAGTCTCCTCAGACGGCAGCGACATGTGAAGAGGCAGTGGGTGATACGGAGCACACGAATTTCGAGTCTTTTCAAAAGGCTGTGGGGTACGAGGTGGAGCCGGGTACCAGCGAGCAAGAGCGTCACGCCAGGATGCCAGACGCACACGAGCTCGCAGCATCAGCGGCAGCAGCAGCGGCAGCAGCAGGGCAAGCAGCAGAGCAGCAAGACGCGTGTGGCAGCGAGGGCTCACCTGAATGTACCGAGGGCTTGCTTGAGCAACGGAATGAGGGTTTGCCTGAGTGGCGGTCGCCCGTGCGCGGCGTGCTGGCATACTTCGGGCTAGAGATGGGGTCTGTGGAAACGTCCGAGGGCAAGCTGCGCGCCGAGTGGCGCAGCAGCCGGCAGTGGGAGACCACTGTGGAGCTCAGCGAGTGCGACTCTATGGGGTACGGGGAGGGGGGGCAGGGAGAGGGGCATGCGGCAGGGGATGGGGGAGAAGGGGCAGGAGGAGAGGGAGGGGGGCGAGGGGGAGAAGGAGAATGGGAGATGGGAGCAGGAGAAGTAGGGAGTGGTAGAGGGTTTGGTGTTGGGCGGGTGCGCAGCAGAGAGAGGAAGTGCTATGGCATGTGCTCGGGTGATGGATGGAAGGTGGCAGCACTACCATGGGAGGGGGCATCGGATGGAGCAGATAGAGCGGATAGAGTGGATAGAGCGGATAAAGCCGCCATGGCAAGGGCAGCAGCACGAGCAGCGGCAAGAGCAGCAGCACGAGCGGAGGAGGAGATGCTTCCCTTCAGGCAAAAACGGCTGCACTGGTCTAAGCACGGGTGCTTGCGCACGTGTCAAGCCGCCATTGGCCACGGCAGCCTCGTCTTCCTCTCCCATTGGCTCCTCTCCTCGCCCTACCTCATCCCCAGGTGGCTCTCCGCCCCCCCGGCCTGGGGGTTCATCACTGTAGTATCCCTCGCATTAGGCATAGTGCTAGCTGCTGAGATTCTACGTATGCACATCCCCAAGCGCGTTCATGCCATAGTGGCTTTAACTCTGGCTGTTTCCGGGTGCCTCTGGTTGCTTCTCTCGGGCCCGTTCCATCCCGTGCCTGCGCTTCAGGCTCGGCCCGAGCCTGGCTCCCGGTTCTGGCTGTCGTTTTCCCAAGCCAGCGGGTACGTGTCGGACCAGCCACATGAGCTAGTTGACCTCACCGGACCTGTCTCGGGACCTGTTGCCGTACCTGCTGCTGCTGCCACATCATCTCAAGTTAATCCATCCACCTTTTCCGAACCAGCAGCTGGTGCAGCCAGAGCAGCAGCAGCTGAAGCTTCAGGTTTCCGAGCCTATCTTCTTGGTGCCCCACTCCTAGCCCTGGCAATCCCGAGCCTGTGGGTTGTGCTAGCTCAAAACATGGGCGGGGCGTACCCGGGCCTGGGAGCAGCAGGTTCAGCAATGTGGTATGTAATCCTGCTGGTTTGGAGTGCAGCTCTGGTGGCTTATGAGAAGCTCGGACCTCTTGGCTTGCTTCGGGGGAGTCTGCCGATCCTACTCGCCGTGTCGATGGGGGGAGTGGCTTGGGGAGTGTGGCGGGCTCCCGAGCCTAAAGGCGAGGGTCGGCGGAGCGACCTGGCGGTTCGGACGGAGTGGTGGAGGCTCGGGCGGCTCGCGTGGGGCAGCGGCGTCCCGGACCGAATGGTTAGGCTCGGTGCCCTTATCCTTGCTGCATTCCTGATGCTTCACTTGCAAGGGTCCTTGTTTACTCGGTTTGGTCGTTGCATGTAGTGGGAGAAAGACAGGGATGCGAGAACGAGGAGAATGAAGAGAGCAGGCCAGCGGATGGATCCGCGCAAAGAGGAGGGGGGAGTGCAGTGGAACGAGTGAGATGGTTCGTAGGTCCTGGACAGAGGAGGCAGCAGAATATGAGGAGCACAAATAACTTGTGAGGCAAGGAGGGCCGATGGAATGACCCATCCCTTCTCATCTCTCACTTACCGGCTCACTTGCTTCCTCCCTCCTCTCTCTCCACTTAATTTAGCTTCCTCCTTAGCTCCTTCCTCCCTCCCTTCCTTCCTTCCTTTCCTTCCTCCTAGCGTCCTCTGTGCATTTGGCGTTGTGCCAAATGGCACAGAACGGCAAAAGCACAGGGTGGACTGCAGTAGTTTAGAGTCGTCTAGAAAAGATACGTGCCAAGGGACGATTGCACTGGTATCACCTGTGGTGATGTTGCGGTTGCGGGGGTCAGGACTTCAGAACCTCCCTCAGAACCTCCCTCAAACCTCCCTCAAGACTTGTATACTTGCAGATGTCACCCATATGCTGTCCTCCATATGGCCGATTCCGGTATGTGGTATTGTGGCATGCTGTGCTTTCTTTGACTTATCCAGCCAGTCTGCAGTATCGCATGTTTTGTTCACCTGAGATAACAATCCAGTGCGAGCGACAGTGTTCTCCGTGCGGCAAGAAAGAAGCAAGAAGATGCTCTCATCTAATCCCCTCATTCGCATCCCTTTCTTCACTTACGCCCACATAGTCACACCCGTTTACTCACCAACGGATCTATACACTCATCCGATCCGATCTGATCACACACGGGTGGTGGTTCTAGCCCCCTCTCTGTCCTCCAACTCCTCCACCCCTCTCTTCCTTCGCTCTTCCTCTCCCTCATCCTTCCTGTCCCGTCCCTCCCATCCCCCCCACGTCTACGGTAGTTTCCATGCTATCAAAGCACGTCTCCCCTTGAATAAGCCGTGTGTCAGCTTGTCCAGGTGCATTTTGAGTCGACTCAAAATGCACTGACTCAAAATGCACCGACTCAAAATGCACCTCTTCCTCTCCCTCGTCTTTCCTGTCCCGTCCCTCCCATCCCCCCCACGCCTACAAGCGGGGGGGCTCTTCTCCTCATCGCCCTCCTCCTCCCCCCCCCCCTCTCCTCCCCACTCAATCTCTCCCCATCCCTTCCCCTTCTCTCTTCGCCCCCCCCCGAACCCCACAAGTACAGGCAGCGGGGGCTCTTCTCCTCATCATCATCCGCCTGCTCCCCTTCCCCCTCCTCCCTCCTTAAGTTCCGTTCCTCATTCATTCCCTTGCCCTCTCCACCTCCAACCCCCCACCACAACAGGCACTGGGGGCTCTTCTCCTCATCGTCGTCCTCCTCCTCCCCTTCCCCCTTCTCCTCCAACTCGCCTACGCCCCCTCCTCCTCCCCAACCTTCGTCAGCAGCTTCGGCAGCAGCAGCAGCAGCAGCAGTCTCGGCAGTGCCGAGCCTAGCTCGGAGGCCTGGGTGCAGCTTCGGGTGCTCAACTTCAACGTGCAGCAGGGGTTCAGCCGGGCAGGTTCAGTGAACATGGATGCCATTGAGCACGTGATTCGGCAGCAGAAACCGGATGTTGTCCTGTAAGTATGAGCAGGGGATTGTCATGGGCTTCAGCCGGGCAGGTTCAGTGAACATGGACGCAATGAGCACGTGATTCACCAGCAAAAGCCGGACATTGTCCGGTAAATGCTCACCTTAACCCGCTTTGTCCGGCACGTGCGGGCTTCTCCCTCTGGTTTCAGCGGGGCAGGTTCAGTGAACATGGACACGGTTGAGCATGCCATTTGGCAAACAAAACCGGGCGTTGTGCTGCAAGTGGCTCCACACCTTGTCAAACTCTTTTTTTTTCTTTTCCAATCAATGAACGTATGCGTATCATTCTTTGTCTTTGTGTTCGTTAAGCCTTCGATCATCAACCTTGTTTGACCATATTTGACCACATGACCATGTTTGCCCTCTGTTGTCTATCCATGCGCCTCCGTCCTTGTGTAACCCACGGCAGGCTGCAGGAGTCGGACACCATGCACCTGATCCATGGCAATGTCGACATGGTGAGTCGTGGTGCTGCTCTCTGAGAAGTGTTAGCACATGGCCGCACATGGCTGCACATGGCCGCACATGGCTGCACATGGCCGCACATGGCTGCACAAGGGCGCACATGGCCGCACATGGCCGCACATGGCCGCACATGGCCGCACATGGCTGCACATGGCCGCACATGGCTCATAGCATAGCATGTGGGACGCTTCGAAGAGGCTTCCGGAGTCGGACACCACCATGCACTGTGCACCATGCACCGTGCACCGTGCACCTGATCCATCCACGGCAATGTCGACATGGTGAGCCTCACATCCCGTGCTCAGTTATCCCAGCTTGGTATTTTGGAGTCAGGCATGGTTCTCACAGTGATGATGCGATGCGACTCTCAATCGGCAGCATGCCCATGATGAGAGAGTGCTCTCAGCAGCATGGTGAGTTGTGTTGCTCTCAGAGAGAGCTCAGGTGCAATACCTCGCCACCTGGCTGGGCATGCACGCCTGGTCCGCCCCCCCTGCCTGCCACCAGTCGTGGGGCTGCGCCATCCTCTCGCGCTTCTCTCTTGCTGTCATGACCTTCCCCCTCCCCCTGTTCCCCCACTCCCTCCTCGTGTTTCCCCAACCACCAGGTGCAGTACCTCGCAACATGGCTGGGCATGCACGCCTGGTCCGTCCCCCCCGCCTGCCACCAGTCGTGGGGCTGCGCCATCCTCTCGCGCTTCTCTCTTGCTGTCATGACCTTCCCCCTCCCCCTGTTCCCCCACTCCCTCCTCGTGTTTCCCCAACCACCAGGTGCAGTACCTCGCAACATGGCTGGGCATGCACGCCTGGTCCGCCCCCCCCGCCCGCCACCAGTCGTGGGGCTGCGCCATCCTCTCGCGCTTCCCCCTCCTCTCCGCCTCTGCCTCTCAGTCCCTCCCCTCCCCCCATGGCGAACTCGCCTGCTTTCAACATGCTATCATCCTGCTAGGGGCTCGTACCATGGCTGTTTCTGGTGGTGGAGACATGCTCCCTGGTGGTGGTTACATGGTTGCTGGTGGTAACCAGACGAGTGCGGGTGTGCCTGGTTACCCTGTTCACATCATGAACGCGCATTTCAGTGACCTTGAGGTGGATATCCGGCTGGAGGCTGAGCGGGCGGCATCGCTTGTCCGTGGTGTGCTGCAGCCAGGGGGGGAGGGAAAGCAGGGTGGAGGAGGAGAGCGGGAGGGGAGAAGGACTCAAGAAGTTGGGGGAGCAGGAGAAAGGTCAGGTGAATCAGGAGAAAGGCCAGGTGAATCAGGAGAAAGGTCAGGTGAAGCAGCAGGAGAAACTGCAGGTGCTGCTCACATTCCGTCCACAGGTGCTGCAGCGGTGCCATCAGCAAATGCTGCTGATCTGCCATCAACAAATGCTGCTGACGTGCCATCACCAATTGTTGCTGAGGTGGCATCAACAAACGCTGCTGACCTGGTATCAACAAATGCTACTGATGTGCCGTCAACAGGTTCGGCTGATGATCCATCCAGCAGCCCTTCTGTAGGGACCGATGCACCAGCAGCGATTGGCATGGGCACAACTATCACAGCAGCGGAGGGGGATGCTGCCACAGAGGAAGCAGCTGCTGCAGCAGCAGAAGCAGAGCGAGCAGCGGGGGTGCAGGGAGACACAACAGCAGAAGCAGCGGCAGTTGCACCCGTAGGGTCAGAGGACGCATCAAAATCAGAGGGAGCACCAGGCTCCGAAGCAGCACCAGCGCCTTCAACATCCAATGGTCACTCTATCACGTTGCCCCTCTCTCCTACTCCCACCATGCCCACCTCTCCCCCACCAACACCCTCCCCTTCCCACTCGCTCCTCCCTGCCCCCCTCATTTTCGGCGGGGATTTCAACTTGGCCCCCCTCTCCCCGCCCTACCTCACCCTCCTCTCTCCCGGCCTTATTGACACTCAAGCCGAGAAGATGGGAGCGTGGAAGAGCATGGGGGACAGGGACCCTGGGGCGGGATATGTGCTGGTGTCGAAGGGGAATGTGGAGTGCTTGGAGTGGCGGGAGCCGAGGTATGATCAGAGGAAGACGTCGGATGGGTACCCTGTGGTTGTGGATGTGAAGATCAACTTCCCTGGTGCCGCGTGAGCGGTGGTGCTTGTGCCAGTGAGCTGTGCCCAAAGAAGCTGTGCTCCTCTGGGCACAGCTCACGCGTGAGTGGTGCGTGAGCGGAGTGGTGCTTGTGCCCAGAGGAGCCTCGAAGCGAAGGGTGGGAGCGTTTGGTTTTTTTGAATTCTCAAAATCCAAACTCTGCCCAGAGGAGCCTAGAAAGGAGGGATGGGAGCCGAGGCATGAGCAGAGGAAAACACCGGATGGGTACCCTGTGGTTGTTGATCCGAAGATCAAGTTCCCTGTTGCCGCATAAAGGAGGACTTTTTGTGGCTTTGGACTCCAGCCAGGTGGGTTTTCTGCGGAACCTGCTGCCACCACTGCTGGCATGAAGATGAGGATTTGGTTTGGGGGTTTTGGGTTGCCCTCAGTTCTTTTCAGCCTTCGGATCCGTCATAGTTAGTGGTGCTCGCAATGGCTGGTCACTCCAGCGACTGCTGCTATCAGGAGCTACTGACTGACACACGCATCCCCCTTTCGTGGTGTCACTGTCACGTGTTGTGTCCCAAGGCACTGAGATTGGATTACTGACACGCACGTTTTGGGGTAGATTTTCTCTGGTCAACATCCTCTCGTGCCTCATAAGGGGCATGGGGTGTAGCTCTAGGAATATGGTTTACCATCTGTGCATAGCCTTTGAGTGTGCTTGTGTAGCTATAAATATCCTCTTGAAATGCCTAGAAATACATGGAGCATGTGCAGAAGATGACAAAATGGATGGCTAGAATAATAAATGCCCAGTGGCGGACACTCTGAATCCATCTCTACATGGGGTTCTTTTGTCTCCCCCCTTAAATCTTACAGGTATAACAAATGGAAACCTCATCCTATCCTATGGGCACCATCAGAGTAAGTCCTCTTGTGAGCAAGTTCCACTGGCTAAGGTTGCCAACTTGCAGCCAGCATCAGGGTATGTGGTCCACCCTTATGCCAGCATCAGGGTATGTGGTCCACCCTAATGCTGAACGACACCCTCTTTGCCGCACTCTGGATGAACCGCCTCTTGAGGAATCGGTATGGCTGCTTTAAGGCAGACCCATCCGTGGGTGCATGCCAATCATGCCCATGCCCATGCTTACGTGGATGCTCGTACCTTGGATCCACATCCTGCTGCTGTTGCTGCTGTTGCTGCTGCTGCTGCTGCTGCTGCTGCTGCTGCTGCTCCTGCTGCTGCTGCTGCTGCTGCTGCTCCTGCTGCTGCTGCTGCTGCTGCTGCTCCTGCTGCTGCTGCTGCTGCTCCTGCTGCTGCTGCTGCTGCTCCTGCTGCTCCTGCTGCTCCTGCTGCTGCTGCTGGTGGTGCTGATAACGAGTACCGTGTGCAGACTGTGCTTCACTATGCATGGCCATGCCACCATGCACCCTCTCCTCCGACCCATCAGAAGCTTCCAGGAAAGGGCACGAGACGCCCTCTGCTTCCCAGGGGCAGCGGGGCTGGCAGCTGCCCCGCCTCACTCCCTCCTCTCTGTAACACTGCTCTGTGTCAGAATCCTCCTCACACACTTTAAGAAATCTACACCCACTCTTCTGCTCCCTGCTGTTCTCTGCAGTACGCCCACGGCTGCAGCTGGCGTTCCCACCATTCTTGCTGATGGATCGGCTGCTGTTACTTGTGCTGGTACCTCTGCTGGTAGCGCTGCCACGCATTACAGCGCTGCTGCTATCAGTTGAGTACCAGGGGAAACCGCTGCTGATGCTGCTGGCAATGCTGCTCAGGCTGAAGCTACTGCTCCTCCTCCAGGCACGCTCGCCCCCATCCTCTTTCCTCGCTCCTGTCTCACCCCCGTTCCCACTCCCCTTCTCCCTCTTACGCTCATGAGCCATTGTAGCCCGTTTCCACCCCACTCTTTCATCTGCCCGCCGTTCCTGTCGGCTGCCCTTGCTGCTGCTGTTGGCGCTGCTGTTGCTTCTCTGTAGCTGTCTGTTCCACCGACCACTAGGGCTGCTTTTGAAGCTGCTGCGCCCGAAGCTGCTGCTTAAGGTTAAGCTCCGCCTGATGCCCATGCCGCCCCGGCTGTTGCTGGTATGCTTGCTACCAGTGGAATTCCTCTTCTCCTTCATCTCTTTCTTCCTCTCTTCCACGATCCCCTCCTTCCTCTCTTCCCCTTGTGCCTCCCTCCTTTTCCCATCCCCGTCACTCTTCGCGCTCCTGACCTCATGGCTCCTGGATCCGCGACTCTGACTGTTACTTCCCTTGCCATTGCCAAACAGATTCATAGTCTGGACAGCAGGAAGAGGAGCAGCAGTAGGGGCAGCAGCAGGCACGGCAGCAGCCACAGCAGCAGGCGCAGCAGCAGGCACAGCAGCAGGCACAGCAGCAGGCGCAGCAGCAGGCACATCAGCAGGCGCAGCAGCAGGCGCAGCAGGGGAAACGGCAGGTGGGGCAGCTGCACGGGGACTCAGTGGTTTGGAGGTGGCCAGTGCACCATTATAGCACTTGCCCTTGTTGCCCGTCGCCCGGGTGGCAGCGCGGCTGCGCATGACAGCGCCATAGAGCCCGATGAAATCATCGTCTGAGTTGTCAGATTCGTCCGCTTGACCTTCCATTGGCTTCCTTCGCCGCCCCTTCTGCTCGTGCTGCTGCTGCTGCTGCTGCTGCTGCTGCTGCTGCTGCTGCTGCTGCTGCTGCTGCTGCTGCTGCTGCTGCTGAGGCCCAACTGTGCTGTAAAGCCCGATGAAATCATCGTCTGAGTCGTCAGCGTCGTCATCCTCACCTTCCATCAGCTCCGCTCGGCACTCCTGCTGCTGTTTCTGCTGCTGCTGGTGCTGTTTCTGCTGCTGCTGCTGCTGGTGCTGTTTCTGCTGATGCTGGTGCTGCTCCTGCTGCTGTTTCTGCTGCTGCTGGTGCTGCTCCTGCTGCTGCTCTGTGCGAAAACTCCTACCAGACCATCTCGCCGACCACCCAGGCTCAGACACAGGCGACGGAGCTGCAGACGCCACGGAAGTCACAGCGGCATCCCAGCGCGACGACCAGGTGTGAGGCAGCTCAAAACAAGACGCCGGGGACGGCACAGAGGCCACAGAGACGTCACAACAGGGCGACCAGGGCTCGTGCCAGCGCAGGGAGACCGAACCCTCCTGCCCCGAACCCACCCGCCTATGGAACTGTCCAGTTGAGAGGGTGGAGTGTACTGATGGGGGAGAGTGGAATGAGAAGGAAGGGGAGGGCACGGACTGGCCCAAGGAAGCAGGGGATTGGGGGAAAGGCATGCTTCTGCTGTGAGTGCCGGAGGGGGGGAAGTGGAAGCCGTTCGAGCTGCTCCTGGCGGGAGGGCGTACACGTGGGCTTCTCTTTGGAATGACACGTGGCGATGGTGTGCTGGCAGCTGATGGGGCCGGCAGGCGGGCAGTCCCCAAGGCACGGGAGGGGACGATTAGGGGTGTGATAGATGGAAGCCTTTGCTGCTGCTGCTGTTGCTGTTGTTGTTGCAACTGCTGTTGCTGTTGCTGCTGCTGGTGCTGTCCCTGCTGCTGCTGCTGTTGGGGCTGCTGCTGCAGCGCTGCTCGTCCAGATGCCGTGAGCGAGACCGATAATGCAGGTGATGAAGACGAGGAGAACGACAAGCGCGCGGTCTGTTCGGCGAGCACCCACGTGCGGCTATGACGTGTGTCGCCACGCAGCGGTCCAATCGGCCATCTCCCACCCAACAAGTGCTGCGAACCACCTGAACGTCCTCCTGAATCCCCACCTGAATCTCCACCTCGTGCTGTGCCTTGTGGTGCAGAATTTGCAGCGTCCCGACCAGAACTTTGTGCTGCGGGGCTGGGGCTCCGTTCCATCTTGCCACTTAAGTGTGTACCGGAACGCGCCGCTACAGATTTTGCCGCATTTTGTCCACCCCCTTGTTTGCTGTGGCCCCTCAGGCACTCGTTGGACCGGCTTCGGCTGATAGTGGCAGGACTGCGGTGGCTATGTCGAGGGCTGTAGCTGTGACTATGCTGAGGGCTGCTGCAGTTGCTGTGCAGGCGGCTGCTGTATTGAGGGCTGTTGTGATTGTATCGCAGGCTGCTGTGTTTGCGCTGGGGGCTGATATTCCCAGCACCAGCCCAGGCAGCAGCCGGAGCAGTGAACGCGTACCCCGTTTTAGTGGACCCGACATAAGCATTAGGCGATGCCTGCCGGGCAGTGCTTCCAGACGGGTCCGTAAAATGCTGGCTGAAACTGCGGGGCGGAAGGGCGTGCGTTGGGGCATTGCCCTTGCTGCTGAGCGGACTGCTGTTGTCGCTGCAGACATTGCTGCTAGTGACAACACTGCTGGCGCAGCGACGGTGGAAATGGCGTTCTTTTTTTCCGGATGCTGCAGCTGTTGCTGCTGCAGAGGCGGCGGGTGGAGGTGTGGTTGACGCAGGCCGCAGGGGACGGGCTGGAATTGACGTGAAAGATTCGCCTGCTGACGTGGAGGAATCGCCTGTTGCTTCGCGCCGGGAGTAAAGGGGGAAAAACTCGGAGCAATCATCGACCCGCAAAGCGGTGCTGGAGGTACGGCAGTGGAGCGTCTTTCGGGACGATTCAGAATCGACTGAAGTGGTAACGTAGCTCTCAGGCGACGGTCGTATGATGCTGACGGATTCGGTCGATTGCTGCCGCTCCCAGGGGTTTGAAAACGTCATTCTGATATCCACGGATTCCGAGTCGAAATGGTGGATAGAACTCGGTAAATATGGGCCTCAGCTGATAGCCCAGCATAGGGTTTCGCACGGCACGGTATTACGGATCACGGGGGGACATAATCAATCGAAGCGTGGAATGGCCGTGAAAGGAGCTACTGCTAGCTCTGAAACTGAGATAATCCGGCGATTCTCTTCTGACACAGATGCTATGGCGACTCTGCGGACGATAAGCTTCGCAATAAAGTCTTCGGGCCTCGCGGAATCGCGTGAATGGGCTCGGATTCGGAGCCTCTGTGGGGTAAGCTCCGCAAATATCCCGACATTTGCGGATGCGGGGATGACCGCCATTATCTCGCAGCATGCAACACTCCTCTTCTTTGTCGGTGATCATTATCTACAGCGCACTCGCAAATGCTGCTTGGGAGCAGTTGGAAGACTTGCCGGACACTTCTCCTTTCGCCCGCTGGCTCGGCCTTCGGCACCAGCTTACACCTGGCGTGCACTGTATGGCCGGTAACGCGTGCCGGGATTTGAAACAAAAGGCGGTGGGCTGACACGCCGCGATACAGTAGCAGCCAGAGCCACACTTCCCCACTGTCACGGCCGAGATTCACGCACCGACAGCTGCGATGGACCCGACAGCCGGGGCACAGTTCGTACAGCCTCGAAAGCTCATTAACCTAGGGTGTTCCATATTTCCGGATTTTTTTTAGCGAGGTCGCGAGTTGACGAAAACCTGGGGATAGGGGCCATGATCAGCTTGAAGATCGAGATTTCTCGAACTTGGGGGAGAAATGCAGACTACGGAGGGGACTATGGCGGTTCGGTTGGACAGATCTGCAGGAAAAGACGAGCGGGCGAGAGGCCAGGAGCCCTTGCAATTGCAGGATAGCTGCTGCTTAGTCTACCGCCCAGTTCAGGGAAGACTTGCCCCTCCAAGTTTGCTTGCATTGCATCGCGAACCACGCAAGCCACCTGTAACCGCAACAACATTCATGCTCGCTGGCGGTTGGCCGCGTGCATTGCCGATCTTCCCCGGGATTCGCTGGATCAGGGGTTTCCAGCTTGAAAGTGTGGCGCACTGATGACGGCACTCCCTATTACGGGCAGGGAGCGGAGATGATCACATTTCATTAGCATGCTAAAAAGAAACTGAGAACAGCATCAAACCCACACCATCTACAACGTTGCATACGTCTTAGAATCCAGATTACAAACAGATTCGATGCACAAGTCTATCAGCCTTATATATGTATGGTATCAAAAGCTACAATGACTAAGCTATGTGCTCAATTTCTCCTTTTGAACGTTACTTTCTTGCCCAGCTGCCTCAAGAACCTGTGTGATTGCGTTAAGTTCCATCTGCTCACATGCTGGTACCCGCTCCCATGCTCATCCCCATGCCCATGCCCATTCCCATGGCCATATGGAGTGCCTTCCCTATGAGAGTCCCTAAAGCGAAGCTCTTGCTCATGTTTTATCTCACTGTCTCCCTAGGGGCTGTTGATGATGGAAAAGGTGTGCTGTTTCATTGGCAGCCTAAGTCGTACAAAGGATATGGCCTTGCCTACTTCCCTTGCATCCTGGCCTTAGGTCGTCATTTGGCCCCATTAACCCCTTTGACTCCGTTGATTGGCATTGGAGCTTCACCCCCCTATGTTCACTATTCTCTTGGGAGCTGTACGCAAGACCTTCTGCCTCCCACAGATTCCTCGGCTGCTGTCACACCCTCACCCAGCTCTGGGACCTCTTGGCCTGGGGAGGTTGAGACTCGGAGACAAAAGCACCAGTGCTTGTATTGGCGCTGTCAACAAACATACCGTAAACGCCCTGATATATGACCCTAGGGTCTTTTTTCGTACAGTGATGGAAACAATCGTCCAGATGTTTTGCATTAATTAGGGTTTTTGAGCTTTCCGACCACTGTACATAAAGTCTTAATATTTAATGGTGGTACGCTTTGGGAGGGGCATATAGTGGATGTGTTCACAGTGCTAAATTCCATAATAGTACATTGGATCTAACTTAGTGCCAAAAGATATACAAAGAGTACATCCGGACAATTGTTTCCCAGGACAAAGAGCAAACTTCCGAGCAACGTTTCTAGTACCTAGTCCACCAACACTTGGCCTTGATAACCACCTGCACCCTCTTAGGCATGTTATCTACGAGGTTAGTGCAAACCTTTATAGGGATCTTCTCGCACTCTTCCTGGACCCACCCTTTTGCATAAGGGAATGAGCACAAGGAAAATCGCGAAGTATTTGAACGTATGCAAGAGTACTGTGCACGATTTTACGTTGAATGATATCTCTGAGAATAGCCATGCTGAGGTGTGGCCAAAGACGTCATAAGTCACTTAGTCCCATCTTATCATGAATTGTCTTCGTCGTACCATTGTAGGATAAAATTACAAGCAGAGTGGCAAAAACCAGCGTGTCCGCCACGAAACTTAGGGTAACATAGCACGGTCGACTGTGCACCTATTCATTAATAGAATCACGTTAAAATCTACGGGTCTCGTCACGGTTCAGTAGTCGAAGAAGCCCCGACTGGTGGGGAAAAATATCCGGGTTCAGGTCTGGTGAGGAAGAGGGTCACTTCAGTGCTACAAAATCATGCTATCCAAGCCATTCCAAGCCTAGGCGGGACACATGGCTTAGAATGGCTTGGACAACATGAGTATGTTACGTTGGAGTGACCCTTTTCCTCACCATATCTCAACCTGGATATTCTTTCTGAACAGTCGCGACTTCTTCGACTGCTGCACCGTAACGAGACCTACGGATCCTAGTGCGATTCTAATAGTGCAAGGATGCACAGTCGACCGTGCTATGTTACCCTAAGTTTCGTGGCAGATACGCTAGTTTTCGCCACTCTGCTCGTAATTTTTACCTACAACGGTATGACAAAGACGATCCATGATAAGACAAGACCAATCGACTTGTGGGATCTTTGGCCACACCTCAGTGTGGCTTGTCTTAGAGATAACATTCAATCTGAAATCGTGCACAATACTCTTGCGTATGCTCAAATCCTTCTTGATTTTCCTAGTGCTCACCCCCTTATGCAAAAGCGTGGGTCCAAGAAGAGTGCGAGAAGATCGCTGTAAAGGTTTGCACTAACCTCGTAGATAACATGCCTAGGAGGGTGCGGGTGGTGATCAAGGCTAAGTGTCGGTTGACTAGGTACTAGAAACGCTTCTCGGAATTTTGCTCTTTGTCCTGGGAAACAATTGTCCGGATGTACTCTTTGCATATCTTTTGGCACTAAGTTAGATCCTGTGTACTATCATGGATTTTAGTGCTGTGAACACATCCACTATGTGCCCCTCCCAAAGCGTACCACCATTAAACATTAAGACTTAATGTACTGTGGCCGGAAAGCCCAAAAACCCTAATTAATGCAAAACATCCAGACACTTGTTTCCGTCACTGTATACTACAAAAAAATGGGGCTGAGTCTATTAAGGAAACGTGGAATTACAATACCTGGGACCTTTCTCGTTTTATAGGGGATTCATTTATTTAAAGCGTGTATCAGAACCCGTTTCGAAATGCGTCCATGCTATCGCAGATGTTGATAGATTCCTGCCTCTACCAGAGCGAATTCCACATCGACAGCTGTGTGGCTGGATTTGGACACCTTGTAGCTCAACTCAAGGCTGCAGCCAATGGGAAATGCAGGTGACGGCAGCATTTACACTTCACGAGAGAAGATTCCACTAGAATCGAACAACTCCCATCTTCGATGCCGTCAAGATGATACGCAACGCTGGCATGTAGACTTGACAAACATCGACGACCAGGGTCTCTACTCTGCCGCATCGACGGCCGACTGAAGTGGGCTTGCGGCCATTATCAAGGGCCATAACCCACGCTCACAGATGCTTGACCGATGGGTTTATGCCGCACCAGCGCCTCCCGCTCCTCCCGCACCTCCGGCGCCGCCAGCGCCACCTGCCCGGCCAGCGCCGCCGGCGCCTCCCAGCCTTCCTTTGGCCTTGCATTATCGTGACCAAGACTGGCTCGATCCTTGCGCGAATTTCGACGAGGGCGATGCCGAGGATGCGACGGGCGTGGGTGCTGCCGATAACTCCGTTGAAGCTGAAAACATGTCTGACGACGGCGAGCCCCAAATTCCTATCCCCTCTTACCCGACTGGACGCAGGTCGCGCGAGGACTGGGAGGTTAACCACGATGCATCCCCCCCCTCGCCAAGGTCCCGCGCCTCAAAAGGTCTTCGGCGCGCGAGAACCGTGAAGGAGAAGCTGGCGTGGTTGGATTACATGGATGCTAACCAGCTCTCCACTCGTGCCACCGCTAAAAAGGCGGGTGTCCAGCCTGTTTGCGTGCACAGGTGGATCAAAGACCGCCCGCGACTCGAGGAAGCTGCGACCTGCCGTAAGCGGCTCCATGGCGACGGGCGACAGTCGCTGTACGCAGACATGGAAATTTGGGTATACAGGAAGCTGCTACATCACCGGACCCGCGGACTTCCCGTGTCGCTCAACCTCATCCGTCGCAGGAGCCTGAACTACATGGCCAAGAACCACCCATCAGTCGACTGGAAGGCGTCTTCTCGATGGTCTCAGCGCATGCGTGCACGGTGGGGTCTGTCAGTAAGGGTAAAGACTAAGATTGGCCAACGCCTGGCCGACAGTGAGTTCACCACTCGAATTCAACTTCTCTCCTCGGTTTAATGTTGCACGTGTTTTCCATACTGCTACTGCATCTTTCACTTCTGTCCTTGTGCAACAGCCTAATGCTTACTCGTCTTCCGTCCTTCCCCGTACCTCCCATGCCTGGCAGATATCAAGCCGAAGGCCCAGAGTTTCTGGCGTTTCTGCCGCAAGCAAATATTCAACAAGGCCATCCCCAACACCCTCATGATCAACGCCGACCAGACGGCGTTATTCATGGAAATGCCAACCGAGCGCACGGTCGAGCACAGGGGTATCAAAGCCGTGCACGTCAGGACTGCCGGTTACGAAAAAGAGCGCGTAACCGTCATGCTGGCATGCACGGCTGCGGGCCAGATGCTGCCCGCGTACGTTGTCTTCAAGCGTGTCCGCCCGCCTTCCATCTCAGTCCCATCGAGTAAGTTGACGCATTTTTTGTTACCATGCGGGGTCGACA